AGGTGTGGTGGTGCGCACCCGTAGTCCCAGCTACTTGGCAGGCTGAGGTGGGAGGATCACTTGAACCAGTAAGGTTAAGGCTGCAGTAAGCCACGATCGCACCACTGCATCCAGCCTGGGTTGCAAAACAAGACTCAGCCTAAAAAAAAAAAAAAAAAAAAAAAAAAATTACAAACAAAAAGGTAAAAAGACAAAAACAACATAATCATTTTTTCTAAAATATTCCAAAATGACTTCACTGCTGAAAAAAAAAAGTGAATGAAAGCAAAAAGTACAAAAATATATTTTTTACTTTAAATCTGGAAGTGAAATCCAAAATATCACTTAATTTAAATAAACTATGATTTGGTGATTATGGCTATCAAAACAGTACGAAATACTACAGCAATCCCAACTGCTATGAGGTTGGAGAGATAACTCGTGCTTTTTTCCATCTCGTCCAAATCTGCACATGCCATCCTTATCCCAGGCCAGATTTCCCATGCTACATACTAGGGCAAGCTTGGCTGAAAATATGATAGCATATCAACTTCTGCAACTTGTCTATCTCTGATTCAATCTTCAAGTTGACCTCTTTTAAGCCATGACTTTGTATCTGTCCAGTCCCTGCACCACCTCGTATCTCTGGCTCAACTGCATTCTTTGAAATTCTTTTTTTCCCAGGAGAATAAAATAGTGATCTTAAAGGAAAAATAATTCTGGGAAGTAAAACAAGCTAATAATCCGCAAAATAGAGCTCCTTCTAATATTATTCACAGAATTCAATTTTCATAATGATCTTAATGTAACTATAGTTTGAAGGTTGATAAGAAGTGTATCATACCTCTAGGAAAAAGTTAACCAGGTAGGGGTCCTGTTTCAGCTTCGCACACACAATGCAAAGAAACTGAATCTCTTCATTTTCTGTTGGTGTTGCTAGGACTTCACCACAGAGTCTAATTAATTTCTGTGAAAACAATTGTTTTTAACTTTTTAAACTTAGGTTACTTTTTACAAATTTGTAAAATAATCATTCATTTACCTTAAGGATATTTAAAATTTTCATATGATGCAAATACCCTGCATTAATCAGAACACTAATGATATTTATAATTATCTATATAAAAATAAACTTATTAGTGGTAAATTTTTCAAGGTCATTACTGTAAATAATTAACGAGTTATATAATAAATTCTCCTTTAGATGTCACAGAAGTAAAATCCAAGGGAAATTCATGTATAAAATTTTAAAAGAGAATTAGAAAGACTGTAAGTACACTTAATGTGATGCATAAAGAAAGCTCAAGTATTTGCTAATTTGCATGTTAATTTTGGAATAATTTCATTATTTTTACTCTCAGAAAAATATATATAAAATTATTTCAACATTAAAAGAAATCAAACCAAATAATTTTATGTAAGGGGAACAACATACCTGCACCGGCCTGTGCACGTTAATGTGTGGAAGTAGTGGCTGCCGGATTCTTCCCAGAAGTTTTGTATAGAAAATCAAAACCTGCTGTTTCATTCCCGGAGGACACTGGGTAGAGGAAAAAAGGAAAGCCAACAGGAAAAGATCAGACAATGCAAACTGAAAAGCTGCAAAAATCAGAGAGGCAGTGTATATGAATGTAGTCCACCTTGAAAAGATAATGCAACTGGCCAGTTAATAACTGTCAGAATAAAATTTTCAATCAAATATTAATGATGGGTATTCCAGAAATAATATTATATATCTGAGACCATAATATAGCATGTGAGACCATAGGCTCATGTAGTTACAAACAGCATGGTGATAATCTGTTGTTGAGATTAGAGTTTGGTGCAGTCAATGTCAACCTGTTTATATTCTAAATGCTGGGGTAACACGAAACTGTAATAGTTAACTCCCTGCCAGAACAAAGGCAAAATCTTGTTATTTAGACTAATGACAGACAGGTCATCAACAACTTTCCATCATATATATGTAGGAGTAAATAAAGCCTCCTAACACACATGTAAATAAAAGGAAACCTGTGGTGTAAACGGTTGTGATTTTATCCTAACATCATTTTAAATTAGAGCCGTTCCTCAGTATACACGGTTATATCCAAATCTGCACTTACTCAGTTCCGATAGTCAGCCCCGTGGAACCCACATATGTGAAAATTCAGCCCTCTGCATAGGCAGGTTTTGCATCCTGGAAATACTGTATTTTCCATCCATGTTTGGTTGAAAAAAAATCTGCCTATATGTGGACCTACAAGTTCAAACCCATGTTGTTCAAGGGTCAATTGTAAGTATTCTTTGCCTATTATAATCATAATATAAATCAACCAAATTATTTACATTATAATAGGCAAAGAATGTTTAATAAATTAGTTTTTATAACATGCCAGTTGTTTTAAGTATTTGCTGAAAAATAGGTAAACCCAATGATCACTCACACTGCAGATTAAGAGAGTATGAATTAACAAGCTTATGTTCCTTAATTAAGCTGCTTATACTGCTTCACATTTCAAATACAGTTACCAAATGAGTATTTCCAAAGCATCATCATAGACATGCTATCTGGAATAGTATAAACTATAATCTCATGCACAATATTTTTAAGCAAGCAAATACTTTACATTATTTAGATAAACCACTAAATTATATTTACAACCACCTGTATTAAAATAAATTTACTAAAGTACAATTACTAACTTTTGCTCAAAAATCAGTTAATCAATTTATTAACAATCCTTCTCTCCAAAGGACAGGAAAAAGAAGGAGAAGGAGAATGAGTTCCAGAATATTAGGCAGCAGGTGTGTTGCCTAGAAAACATAAATTGAGTGAATTTAACTTAAAAGTAGAGTATTACAGACAAAAGGAAATTGTCTTGTATGCTACTATTCATAACTCTCTTTGTCATGAAAGTGTGTCTGTAGGTTTCTTTTGTTTTAACCTAATTTTTTTTCACATATATCATAGAAATTCACAGAACAATAGACTTTTAGGGCTGGGGAGGCCCCTCAACAATCACTTTTTGGATTTTAAAGAGGCGGAAGATTAACCAAAGAGACTTATGATGGTCACAGTGTGTGAATAATGAAGTCAGGACTGGAAGCCTGGCCTCCTAATCTGAACTCAAGGCTCTTCCGTTCCCTCACTCGGCCACACGGCTGGAAAACTTGTCTCTATAACTAATTTGAAGGCTTTGCGATATAAAATATTATTGATATCATAATTTCAGCTTTGTAAAGATTTTTCAATATTCATCAGACCTAAAAAATATAAATTGGCTCCACTCAACAGTTTAGTTAGTGTCAAAATAATCAGTGACATTCCCTTCCAGGACTATGACAAATAATTCCTATTTTTTCAATCCTATTTTAACTGACTTCCTTCTCTCTTTTTTTATTCTGAGCTCATGTACTTGAGTTTATTTTCATAAATGTTTATATTGGAATTCTAAGCAGCCAAGTACTAGTTGTTGTCTAGAGTGTTTGGAATCTTTCTATCTCTATGGACATATGTGTATAGGCTACATAATTTTCTTTTTTCCACAGTCTTAACTTGAATCCTGCCATTTTCAATACGCGCCTTTTAAATCAAGTATTTGGCAGTTTCTTTATTCATAAGACATTAAGGCATGTACTACACGCCCAAAAACATGGTGTGGATTAGGAACTTACATCAGCTTTCCCCAAGGTGTATAATGTTTCCAAGATTTTGTGATGGAGCAAATATTCCATACATGGCCCCGTCTCTCCAGATTCCCGTTCATTTTCTTCTTGAACCAGTATATCTAACATCTGTTCCAGATGCGATGGAATATTTGTATCGGTCACTGGGGCTTTATCATCTAAACAACAAAAAACACTCATCAAATATTTAAACATTTTTAAACTGCATATTTGCACCTAAAATACTCTCTGTCTTTCCCTTTTCCTATTCAAACTGAGAAAAATCTGAACTACACATTTAAGTGAGGTTTATAAACATAGTATGATTATCTCTGCTAGAATTTAGATGATGCATTTTGTCATATTCTTACCCCAAAACTGAATCAATATTCTGAAATATGGCCAGGCACGGTGGTTCACGCCTGTAATTCTAGCACTTTGGGAGGCCGAGGCAGGTGGATCACCTGAGGTCAGGAATCCAAGACCAGCCTGGCCAACACAGTGAAACCTTGTCTCTACTAAAAACACAAAAAATTTAGCCAGGCGTGGTGGCGGGCACCTGTGATTCCGGCTACTCAGGAGGCTGAGGCAGGAGAATCGCTTGAAACAGGGAGGCGGAGGTTGCAGTGAGCAGAGATCGTACCATTGCACTCCAGCCTGGGTGATAGAGTGAGACTCCATCTCAAAAAAAAAAAAAATCTGAAATATATTCCGTAAGCTAACATTCATCTATCCATAGTAATTTAGAAATAAGAGTTATTTATATGGGAAAATGGGAACATGACCAGGAAAAATACACGTCATATCAAAATGTTCTATGTGTACTTGTAATTAAAATATTTTTTTCACTTAGCCAGTTCAGAAGATCTGAACTTTAAGTTTCTTTAAATAGAAATAGGTTGGCCTTGAACATTAAGGCAAATAACCTGGGATATATGAAGAAGACGGATTCTGTTTTGTATTGCTACTACATTACTTTGTAGGATTGGGAAGCCTGTCAATGCCCCTAATTCATTTTCTTCTGTTAAAATGAGAAGGCAAAAGGAAAACCCACTATTAAAATTATGGACATCTCTCATTAACAGATGACTGTTTTCCAAAATCTGTTTTTCAAAGTTGCTTCTCTGGAGAATTTTTATTAAATATTACTGATTTCTTATAAAAAAATAAAAATTTAGTGCTATTTTTTAACAAATCACAGTTAGACTCAAACATCACATGGTTTTATCAACCTATCCTTATTATACTGAGGTTAAACTACTCTTAAAAATGTGAAGTTTTATAGAACATTTAAATACAAAATACATTAGGAAATGCCAAATTCTTTACTTATGTCTCTATTTTCATTTACTTTGTACTTCTATAGTTTGAACACCACAATTCTGGTATGCTATGTACTGATATGTTGCTTTGTCTGTATACTAGCACAGAGAGAAAACCATAGCTAAGCCTTATGGAGAAAACAATGGATAGAGAAGGGTCACCTTTGTTTTCAGGAGGACATATGTATCAAGTTTGATATGGTATGGGACAGTTGTTAGAAGAATGGGTCCTGGAGTTGGACAACTTGGATTCAAATCTTGGCTCTGTCACTTTCAGGTGGATGAACTGGTGCAACTTATGTAAGCATCAGTCACCAACACCTATAAAATGGAACTAATAAACACTAGTGAGTACTATTATATGATTTCAATGAAATAATAAAGCCCAGTCCTTAGCACAGAGTAAGAATTCAAGAAATGTTACGTCTCATTTCATATTCTAAAATGAGTAGCCTAGCGCTAGTAAAGGATGATTTATAAGTTTACTTATAATTTATTTTTCAAAAATGTGTTTTCCCCATAATTGTAGCCTTTATATACACAAACACTCCAGGAAAGAATGAATGTTCAAGCACGGTTTAATTGCAATTACTTATGGCAAAAAAATGACCAAAAATACTTTTTAAATTGAGAACTAAATTAATTGTAAATTGAACTTGACAGGATTAAAATCTTAGCTCCCTATAAGATCAGATCTAGTTTCAGCCACCGATTCTCATCATTCCTGAACTATAAATGGCATTGTGCCTTTGCATATGCTTTTTTCCACCTGAAATGTTATTTGTTCCATATTTTATTGCAATGTACATACTTATTTCTGCTACTAGATTGCAAAAAATCTTTTAAAGCAAGAACTTATGTATTTTCTCAAAGCCATGGAAGCAGGAAAAAAATTATAAGGGCTAAGAGCAGTCCTTTGAAAAGGCAGCTCCTCTCAAGAAACATTTCTGTAGATCTGCTGGCCAAACATCTAAATGAAGTTAGAAATTACATATGTATATTTTTTTGTCTGATTTTTACTTGCTGCACAAATATAAAGGATTTTTTTTCTTTTAACAAATCACGTATAATCCTGTCAGCTTGCCAAATGAACTATTCTCATTTTCTCATGTTTCCTTTTAGTTAGATGACATGCATCCAATCTGCATATCCACCAGTGTTTACCTGTATACTCCTCAGGGGATCCTGTAGTGCTAGGTAGCAATGTCCCTATTTCATTCTGTCGCCAAATTTTGGTCTATGGGCCAAATCCAGCCCTGCCATCAGTTTTTGTACATAAAGGTGCATTGGAACAAAGGAAAGCTCCTTTTTTCTTTTTTTTCTTTTGAGACAGTCTCACTCTGTCATCAAGCTGGAGAGCAGTGACGTGATCTCGGCTCACTGCAGCCTCCACCTCCTGGGTTCAAGCGATTCTCCTGCCTCAGCCTCCAGAGTAGCTGGGACTACAGGTGCATGCCACCACGCCTAGCTAATTTTTGTATTTTTAGTAGATATGGGGTTTCACCATGTTGGCCAGGATGGTCTCGATCTCCTGACCTTGTGATCCGCTTGCCTCGGCCTCCCAAAGTGCTGGGATTACAGGCGTGAGCCACCGTGCCTGGCCCGAAGGCTCATTCTTTAACAGCAGAGCTTAAGAACTGCAACAGAGACTGTATGGCCCACAAAGCCTATCTGGCCTTTTATGGAATAGTTTGGCAACCCTTGACCTAATCTATTCTCATTCCCCATATTCACTGTCCATCCTTCCTATTTACTGAGAACATCCTTCCTATTTTCATCCTTCCTAATTACTTCCTATTACTTGCATCTAAAACAGATGCAACCAGAAGATAACTTCCAAAGACTCTGTACACCATATCTACCTGTTTCCTGCATTTATACCCTTGTTCTGCTTTCTACCTTATTTTGATGGATGAACTGTACTCACGCCTATTTAAGGCCAAGCGTCTACTTTTACACAAGATCCCTTCCTCCCTTGCCTACTTAAGGATATTGCACAGAAATGATCTCATCTGGCTGGATATGGTGGCTCATGCCTGCAATCCCAGTACTCTGGGAGGCCAAGGCAGGTGTATCACCTGAGGTCAGGAGTTTGAGACCAGTCTGGCCAACATGGCGAAACCCTGTCTCTATATAAAAATACAAAAATTAGCCAGGTGTGGTGGTGGGCACCTGTAATCCCAGCTCTTGGGAGGCTGAGTCACAAGAATCGCTTGAACCTGGGAAGTAGAGGTTGTTGTGAGGCAAGATGGAGCCAGAGTAAGTCTGTCTCAAAAAACAAAACAAAACAAAAAACAAAAACAAACAAAAAACAAAAAAAAAGAAAAGAAAAAGAAATGCTCTCATCTTACTCTTGTATCTACCCTTTTCTCTACTAGATTGCTCCCATCAAATAAAACTGCAATATCTTATGTCTTTTTAAAGAATTTAAAAACCCTTTCCTGCTGCCGTATCTCCTTCTCAGCCCCATTTACACTAATATGCCCCATGAGAGCAGTCTACACACATTGTCTATACATCTTTTCCACCCATTTTCTCTTTTTTTTGAGCCAGTCTTCCTCTGTCACCCAGGCTAAAGTGCAGTGGTGCCATCTCCACTCACTGCAACCTCCACCTCCTGAGTTCAAGCAATTCTCCTGCCTCAGCCTCCCGAGTAGCTGGGATTACAGGTGTGCACCACCATGCCTGGCTAATTTTTGTATTTTTTTGTAGAGTCGGGGTTCTACCATCTTGGCCAGGCTGGTCTTGAACTCTTGGCCTCAAGCAATCCGCCCATCTCGGCCTCCCAAAGTGTTGTGATTACAGGCGTGAGCCATCGCGCCCAGCCAGTTCCACCCATTTTCTCTTAAACCTACTCCAATCAGGCCTTCTCTCTCCTCCCTGCCATTAAAGTGGCTCTTATCAAGAAAACTAATGTGCTTCTTGTAGCTAAATCCAATGATCCATTCTTAGTCTTCATTAACCTGACATCAGCATCATTTGACACAATTAATCCTTCCTTCCTCTTCTAGGCTGCTGAGGACACCATTTGCTATTGGCTGTCTTCTTCCGTACCGGCAAAAGCAGCTTCCTTCACTACTGTTCTCATCTTCCCAACCTCTAAACACTGGGTCCAAGAGTTCATTTTTGGACGCCTTCTCTCCTCCATCTATCTTTCCTCCCTAGATAATCTCATCCAGTCACAGGGCTTGAAGTCCTACTTACATGTTAATAACTCTCAATTTCATGTCTTAAGTCCAGATTCCTGTTGCCAGTTGTCTACCTGACGTATCCAAGCAGACGTATGATGGGTGTCTCACACTCAACACATACAAAATGTGCTCACAAACCTGCTCCTCCTACAGTCTCCCTGTTCTCAGTAAGTGGCACTCTACTTTTCTAGCTTCTTAAGCCCAAAACTTTGGAGTTATCTTTGACTCTTATTCCCTTATCCCCAATATCCAATCCATCAACAAATCTTCCTTTAAAATGTATCCAGAATGCAATCTCCTTAGCACCTCCACCCTGGGCTAAGCCATTATTGTCTCTCGTTGAGACTGCTGTGACAGTACCCTGTTTTACCAGCTTCATCCCTGAATCCTGTCAATCTAAGTTTTTTCACAGAAGTCAAGGTAATCAAACAGATTACATTTCAGCTCTACTCAAAACCCTCCAAGAGTTCTCACAGTAAAAGTCAAACCCTTACAGTGGCTCACAAGGCCCTGGGGGAATATGCGACAAGCCTCCAAACCCCCACCTCTGTCTTCTTTCATCTCCTGCCACTTTCCTCCTTCAGTTTGCTCTATCCACACCGGCTTCCTTAAAGTTCCTGGGATATGCCAAGTATGCCATATGCTCTGGCCTGAGGGTTTGTGAATTAGGTGTCATTCCCGAGACACCCTTCCCCCAGATATCTAGCAGGCTCAGTTCCTTTCTCCTTTAGATTTCAGCTCACAAGTCATATTGGGCAATGAGGCTTTCTCTAACCTAAAATAGCCAACTGTCCACTCCCACCACCCAAACGTACCCCTATAACCCTTTAGCCTGCTTCATTTGCCCTTGACGCTTATCATCTGACACACTATATGTATTTGTCTATATAATGTCTGCCTCCTCCCAATCAATACATAAGCTCTGTGAGGACAGCAGTGTTGCCTGTTTGACTGTTCTATCCCTCAGTGCCTCAACGATGCCTGACACATAGTAGTAGGTGCTCAACAGATACATTTTTAAATGAGTGACTGAATCTTAAAAACAAATTAAAGATGTCTATAAACTTAGATATAAAATAAATTTGAAGACTTATTTAAAAATATTTTAATATTTTACAAATTTTCTGTTTAACTTTCACAAATTTTCAGTTAATATCAGCATTGTTCCTTACCTGAAGTCTCTATGTAGTAATGGGTAATTGCCTTCCAGTGATAAACAAAATCTTCTTGTAAAGGAAGAGAAGGTGCAAGCTACGCAAACAAAAGACCACAACAATTAAGAAAACGGCATTGAAACTTTCCCATAACTTACGACTCTATATTTATGTATTATGATGCAATGGTAGCATAAAAATAAGGGGTGAACTTTGTTTTTATATGTCAGATATCAAACAGAAACAAAATAAGTCGAATCCAAGAAAGTAAAAATGAGTTATCAAGAAAGAGGAAAAACATAATTATCAACATTATTATTAAACTACAGTATTGGGCTTTTTTTTACCCTCCCCTGACACTTGTTTAAAAGTAGGTTTCAGGCTGGGGGCAGTGGCTCACACCTGTAATCCCAAAACTCTGGGAGGCCGAGGTAGGTGAATCACTTGAGGTCAGGAGTTCAAGGCCAGCCTGGCAACATGGTGAAACCCTGTCTCTACTAAAAATACAACAATTAGCCAGGCGTGGTGCCATGCATCTGTAGTCCCAGCTACTGGGAAGGCTGAGACAGGAGAATCCCCTGAACCTGGGAGGTGGAGTGGAGGTTGCAATGAGCCAAGATTGCGCCACTGCATTCCAGCCTGGGTGACAGAACAAGACTCCACCTCAAAAAAAAAGGAGGTTTCAAAGGTATGTTAAATGAAAAATTAAATGAAAATGCCCAATATTCTAATACTGACATATCAGTAAAACGAAATTACTGATAGCCAGGAATCTTTGTACCTAGGACTTTGAAATGCACAACAGTAAAAAGCTGCTACGTAATTAGTTACACGTCATCACTACTAAAACATGTACCAAAGTCAACTTCGTAATCAGATTAAAACTGTACCCTACATTCAGTGACATACAGATGTTAATCTTTTCTTTTTTAAGCTTGGAATAGGCAGTGCATATTTTTAGCAAAATAACTACATGAACAAGATACTAACAATTTAAATTCCACAAAGTCAAAAATGCTCAACATTTTAGCTCTAAAACTTACTTCAGAAGTTTTATGACCAAAATTATATCCCCTCAGTCATCTCATAGCAAACCTACAAGTATTTCAAATGTGCATTAAATGGATAGAAAAAGATTTGCATACACTTTCTACATTTCTTTTCCTTAAAGAGTGAAAGAGAGTGAGAGCTCCCCTAGTCCTAATGTTGTCAGAGGCCTTTGAACCAGAGCGACTCCATCTTGAACAGGAGCTGGGTAAAATGAGGCTAAAACTTGCTGGGCTGCATTCCCAGGAGGTCAGGCATTCTTAGTCACAGGATGAGATTGGAGGTCACAGGTCCAACATCACAAGATACAGGTCATAAAGACCCTGCTGATAAACAGCATTCGGTAAAGAAGCTGGCCAAAACTCACCAAAACCAAGATGGTCACAAAAGTGACCTCCAGTTGTCCTTACTGCTCATTACACACTAATTGTAATGCATTAGCATGCTAAGAGCCACTCCCAATAGTGCCATGACAGCCTTCAAATGCCATGGCAATGTCTGAAAAATACCCTATATAGTTGAAAAAGGGGAGGAAGGCTCAAGGCTGAGAATGGCTCACGCTTTTCCCCAGAAAATTCATGAATCATCCATCTCTTGTTTAGCATATGATCAATAAATAACTAGAAAAATAGCCAACTAGTAGCTCTTGGGGCTGCTCTGCCTACGGAGTTTTGTTTCTTTTGTTTCTTTACTTCTTCAGAGTCCATTTTCATAGCCTTCTTCTAAACAGATGACCTAAAAGCGGTCATGTTATTCTTGCACTTCTACTGGTACCATTTTGTTTTCTTGGTGTCCTCAGCATCCACCTCAGAGCTGGCAACCCTGTCGAAACAATTTCCGAACTATTGTCCAAATTATAAATATTGGTCATAAACATCTTAAGTGTTTCAATCAAGAAGATGAAATGTATTTATGGAATAAAATAGACCTGAAAATATTTCAACAATCATCAATATCGTCCACTGTAAATAGTACTGTGTTAAGAGAATAAAATATTCACTTTATTTTCAAAAAATAAAAAATAAAAAAGACTGCAAGAATGGAGTTAAAATCTTTGGGAGTACTTTAACTTCAAGGAGAACATGGTGAGAAGAAAAACTTATGGGAGATGGAGGGAAAAAATGAGGAAGAAAATTAAGAATCAAAGTATCAACTTGGGAAAACAGTATCATCTTCCTGAAATTTTTAGATTAAAAAAAGTTTTAATCAGCCACTTTAGAATGTTCTCAAAATACATAAAACCTCTTCCTAATTTGTTTTGGACCTGACTTCTATAGACTACCTTTATATAGTTAAGTGCATTAACAAGTGGGACAAACCCAAACGAAATTTGTTGTTTCAGGAACTGTACCTAGTTTCTTAAGTGTCAATGTTACGATTTGTTAAATTTTTCCAAGGCAACCTCCTGGCTATATGAGGAGTTACAATATCTTTTTTCCAGATTATTTCAGGAGTGGGAATTAACTGTATTTCAAGAGAATTGAAACTGTATTCTCTGGTCACTAGGCAGAGATGTCTTACTGTGTTTGTGTCAGGACCTTTGTTGTAGGTTACAGTCAAATTCAAAGCAGGATGGTGTTACTTTGTGAATACCTCCCTCCAGGAGTTAGATTTAAATAAGAAACCTATTTAACTAGAGAGCTAAACAGTTCTAAATTGCTAATAACTTAGATTAGTAACAATCTTGTTCAAACATGAATAAATTTCCTTATTTATGTAAAACTTTCTAGTAAACTTGCCACTTTCATTACTAATTCTAACGTGCAAATCACCTGTTTTATTATTGCATAAAAACATTGATGCTGTGAGTTAAAAAAAAAAAAGATGTGTGAATCAGTACCAAGAGATTCCAATTTTTTTACAGCACAGATAATTAAATTTTTAAAAATTCATGCATTGACCATCGCAACCCCAAATTGACATGAAACCCTTAACCAGACTTTGCTTTCTCTGCAAAGCCTGGCCAGGCTCTTCCTGCTTAGGATGGAATCCCTATATATGCCTTGATATTCTTTACCAGATGGCTTGCTCTCTTTCATCCCATATCCCACTTTTGTCATTGTTTAATTATCCATCTCTTCCACTAGATTGTCAGCTCTATGAGGGCTGGGACTGTATCATCTTTTTCATCACTCAATCTCTGGTTTCCAACTCAGGCATGACACAGAGTTAAGAATTTGATAATATATATTAAGTGAATACATAAATAACACAGAAGTCACTGCCTTTTAATGAGTAGTTATGTGCCAGGTGTAATACTGCAAATTTTGCACATACCGTATGGTCTTAAACTCTCACGATAAACCTATTTTGCTCAAACTCTGAAGACTCAAAATCAGTTAACTGACTTAACCAAGGAAATACTGCCTTTAACTGGGAGCCTGGACTGTGTTCAAATACACCCATCACACAAAACTATCTAGATGGATAATTCAAATGAAAACTAGTGTTCTAAAAGTCACCTCTGCTTTTACTGTGTCTCATGTATCATCAACATTCCACTCCCAGATTTTATTTTATTTTTGAGATGGAGTTTCGCTCTTATTGCCCTGGCTGGAGTGCAATGGCATGATCTCGGCTCACTGCAACCTCTGCCTCCTGGATTCAAGCAATTCTCCTGTCTCTGCCTCCCGAGTAGCTGGGATTACAGGTGCAAGCCACCACGTCTGGCTAATTTTTGTATTTTCAGTAAAGTTGGGGTTTCATCATATTGGTCAGGCTGGTCTCGAACTCCTGACCTCAGGTGATCTGCCTCCCAAAGTGCTGGCATTACAGGCATGAGCCACCATGCCTGGCCCCTCTCCCAGATTTTTTAAATGCTTCTTTCTGCCCCCAACTTTCCTAATGATCTTCCCCATCTTCTCTCCCACTCCAAAGTCTTGCTCACTTCCTCCCAGAGTCTTTTATAACAACTCCGATCCTAAAAGCTTGCTCCCTTCTCCTACAGAGTTCACTGGCTAAACCAATCACCCAAATGACAATAATGGTTTGACTTTTACTGAGCACTTCCTATGTGCCAGGCACTGCACTAAGCACTTCATGAACATTATCTCATTTTAATCTTCACAACAATTCTATGATAGGTTTAATTATTTCCCTTTATAATGAAGAAATGGAAATGTATACGTATCAACTATCTCGTCCAAGTACAGAAGGAAGGGATAGAGGCAGGAATGGAACCTGATTCTTTCTGGCTCTATGAGTTAGAACATATTCTTAGGCATTCCTTATTCTATAATCTAACTTGTATATTTGTTTTGTTTTCCAAATGAGACTGTAAGCATTGTACCAAGGACACAAGTACACCAAGTACATCTTGTTTCCCTCACTTTGAGCCATGCTTTCCTGGTGACTCAGAAGACATGTGCTGAATGAGTGAAGGACTGAAGCTAGAGATCACTTGTTGGAAAAGAATATGCCAAGAAAACATGAGATATATTTGATTTGTGGTTTGAATTTCCAGGGCACAGGAGATTTTTAAGGAATTGCTAGTCTCAACAATCATCATGAACTCTTAACTATAATTTGGAAAGAAAACATTGCACTTACATTCTGAAAGACGACTTCCATTAAAGGAATTAGCTAAAATGATAAAACTCTTCCCTGACACTGTCCTTTATCCTCTCTGGAATAAATCTGCCCACAAGGGTGGAACTGGTTGGAATTTAAGAGGAACATGCCCTTGGCACATTCCCTAGTGAGGACTAGGCTCTCAACAAATGCCAAATTGTATTAAATGGAAAGTGTTTTATCTATCTTTTGAAGAAGCTGTGTTAAAACAATCCAATCTAACCCTGGAACTAACTACAAGAAAGGCCTGAATTCAGACTTGTGACATGTGGCAACTGGCTAACAGGACAGATTAATTTCATAAGACTCTTACTGGCCAATCATTTCTATACTGAGAGAAGACCGTCATTTCTAAAAAGGGACGCAGGAGTTACATTACAGTTCTTGTTTTTGATCAAGAAGGTGTGAACTTCTCTTCCATACTCAAAATGCAGTCTATCAGCTTAATAACACATTTTCAAATATTAATTTTGGAAAATATCTTAGTCATAGTTTTCACCTTGTAAGTAGCTACCAGGGAGTGAGGAGAAACCATTAATTAAACAATAAGAAAAACACTGTGTTTAAGCCTCACTTAAATGAATATGATAAATGATAATGATAAATGAATATGAAAATGATAAATGATAAATGAATCCAGTCAACGCTAAAAAAAACTATTTGGGCCAGGTATGATAGCTCCATCCTTATAATCCTGGCACTTTAGGAGATGGAGGTGGGAGGCTCACTCAAGCCCAAAAATGTGAGACCAACCTGGGCACAGTGTCTACATTGTGAGACCCAGTGTCTACAAAAAATTTTTTTAAAAATTGAGTGTGGTCGTGCTGGCCTGTAGTCCCAGCTACTCAGGAGACTGAGACAGGAGAATTGTTAGAGTCCTGGAGGTCGGTCGAGGCTGCAGTGAGCCATGATCATGCCACTGCACTCTAGCCTGGGTGACAGAGACCCTGTCTTGAAAAATAAGTAAATAGTTAATTAAAAATTAAAAACCCATTTGAAGGCTCACCAATTGAATAAGGAAACCTGGAAAGTAATCATACCAAAATGGTTGGAAAAGCATTACTCCACAGACTGATCCAACAAAATAATGAAAAAAGGTCACGTCAGCATCCAGGTATTTTCTGTCTCTGTATAATCCTGATAATTATGCTAATTGGAATAATGCATCAGGAAATGCTAATTGGTCATACAAATGAACAGGAACACACAGAAGAGCTAATGAAATGAACTGAGGAATGGTAAGATTGCTTCATAGAGGAAAATATCAAGCAAATTAATAAACAGAACTGAATAACTAGAAACTAATCTTGGGCTACAAAAAAAAATTATCCAAATACCACAAGGATGGCTTTTTCATCATTGCATATGAGTTCATTCCCAAGAGAGAATGTTAAAAGGGGGGAAAAAAAGGTTAGTATAGGACACCAAACATTTTCCATGAGATTTAACCTCCTATCAAGATAAGATGGGTGGTGCCACAAATGAAAACATTAGGTCTAAGGAAATGAAAACATTACATTTCTAAATGTAATGCATTAATTTCAGGACTAGGTGAATACAAGCCACTCTAACTTTTTCTCACTAACCTCAGCAAAGTAGGCTAAGGATATTACAGAGCAGGAGCCAGATAATTTGGCAGATGCTAATATATACAATTATAAAAAGATAATGAGGACAAGAAAACACAGGCCTTTGGATAAAAATGAGCCTTTACTAGGAGAGCAAGAAAGCCGTCTTTCTTTTTCTAAGTACTTATTTCTGTAAACACTAGCCTGATGGGTAAAGGATATAAATACAGTCGGTATCTGTGGGGGACTAGTTCCAGGACCTCTCTTCCCACCCCTAAAATCTGAGGGTGCTCAAGTCCCTGTTTTAAAATGGCATAATATTTTCATATAACCTATGCATACCTGTATACTTTAAATCATCTCTAGATTGCTTCTAATACCTAATACAATGCCTACGCATCACTTCATTCACATGGATTCAAGGCAGTACTTGAATGTGGCAAATTCAAGTTTTGCTTTTTGGAACTCTGCAGAATTTTTTTCCCCCTCGAATATTTTTTTACCTGAGTTTGGTTGAATCACATGTGCAGAGTCTACGGATAAGACAGCTGACTGTAATGTAGTAAATTTTGATTCCCAAGTATCTCATTAAGTATTCCCAAGTATTTCACATATTCAATTTAAAATAAAATGATTTGGATTTTATTCATTTAAATCGCGGTGGCACACGCCTGTAATCCCAGCACTTTGGGAGGCCAAGGCAGGCGATCACTTGAGGTCAGGAGTTCGAGAGCAGCCTGGCTAACATGGTGAAACCCCATCTCTACTAAAAAAAAAAAAAAAAAAAAAAAATTCCTCGGGTGTGGTGTGTGCCTGTAATCCCAGCTACTAGGAGAATCGCTTGAATCCGGGAGGCGGGAGGCGGAGGTTGCAGTCACCTGAGATCACACCACTGCACTCCAACCTGGGTGACAGAATGAGATTCGGTCTCAAAAAAATTAATAAATAAAAAATAAATAAATAAAATTAAATGATTATTGGTATTTTTAAAGAAAACAAAATATAAATGTTTTAATAAATTGCAGTTACATTCTTTTAACAAAAGTGCTTTAGAGTGTGCATAAGCAAGAAAAAACTAAAAGTTGTCTTGAAGTCTACAACTGTCATTTCCCTCGGTGTAATACTGCTCTACATTCATAAAACCCTGCTTTTCTTGTTTGATACATTTGCCCAAGAGCTTGTCCTAGAGCTAAATTTTTCAACACTTCCCATGTATCACTTAAATAACAATTGTACTAGAGTTTGTTTTTATTACTGAAGGCAAAAACTCCATTTTATTTTTGCCTGCCCATAAAAAATTGTTGTATCTGATATTTTTTAAAATGTACATTTTAAAGTGCCCTATCGCATAATATGATCACAGGAAGAGAAAGTCATGTTAAAAATTAGCAAAGTAATTGTTTCTGCACAGAATGCATTTCTCAATTTGGGCAGTTCTCCCAGAATAAAGTAAACAAGTAAAGCAACTAGCACTCTCACTAGAACAGTGACAAGACATTTTCTTTTTAGTTTCTTTTCACGTATTAGTCTATTAGGATACTTGAATACTGTCTCTCTATGCTGGTGTCTAAAACCCTCAAAGGAGAGTACAATTGCAGGATAAACGAAGAGTGTCCAGGAAGAGAACTAGAGAAGAAAGGAAACAGATGGTCTCTGTGCTCGGTGAGCTTGGAAGCTGTCTAAAGCAAACTCGATTGGACCCTCCAAACCCCTATTTCAGATCAATCCATAAGGTTCAGCTGAGTTCGGCCTCCTGGCCCAAGCAAGCAAAAGCCAGCAACCCGGCTGGTCGGCGGCTCCCTCGCCAGGGTCGCCCCACAGCGAGACCATGCCTTTCTCACCCCTACCCCCCAAAACCAAAACAAAACAGAACCCAAGCCCAAGCGGTGCTTGCTCGTTTCTTTTGTCTTGCTCAACGCTGACCACTTTTTTCCGGAGAAGGTTAACGTTAAGGGAGCCCGGGGGAGCTCCCTGCGACCCCGCCAGGTGCTCCCCGAACCCCCGTCCCCATCAGAGGAATGAGGCGACCACCGAGCGGGGTCGGGCGGCC